AGTATATTATACTGGAGCCAGCAAAGTATACCGGTCCAGCATAATATGCTGGAGTTCATACACAAGTGCACCGAACTCCAGTATATTATGCTGGACCGGTCTCTATTGCAGCAAAACGGTGGCTATTTTTCATTAACTTGGTAAACGCTGACTATTTTTGATTGACCAGTCCGAAAACTGGCTATACCGTAAAATTTTGGCGGTAAAAGTCCCTTACTTGTACGACACTCATTAATGTGCCCAAACACCCAAGAAACATGTTGAAACGCCACATGAAGCTTTTCGTCTCGGGTTTTTTGAGGAAATCCACATGAAGCAAGGGTAAACCAGAGCCAGTGGCAGCGCTATGCCACCCACAAAGGCTGCCAGGCTTCCTAAAAATGGGAACGCCTCCGATATGGAGTATGTCAATCCCCCGAAGAAGAGCTTGATGCATGATTGGAGCCTCCTCGGGCACGCCTTGTGCTCCCTGCTTACATATACTAATCTTAGCGTACGCGCGTGATCTTCGTGTTAATGAAAATAAATTTTGAAACATAATATAAAAATATTTAAAAGATGTATTTGCGTTATAATATAAAAATTAATAAAATTTGCAAGTTTCAAAATGATAGCTATTAATCATATTTAGGAATTCGATCCACTCTATTCTATTCATACCATTGTAATCACATAGACATCCAAATTGAATTATTATTAACACTTTATATAAAGTTTTAGCTCGATCTTTATCTTATATTACCTCTGATTCCTTTCTAAGTACTTCTTTTATTCGGGACTAATCAACTCTTTTGTTGAACTCCCTAATCAAGTCAAAAGACTCGCCAACATGGATAGATGAGATCTACCATCATATAGGATAAAACAGCCAAACCAGGCATGTCGTATATGACCCACCATAGATTTTGTAAAATCATGTACAATTTTGGTTAGGACTAACAACAGTGGTCTCATCTCAATGATCATGTACAAAGTTTGGGATGCCAAACTCAATATGTAACTTTTTGCACATAAATGATCAATGAAGACAATGTTTTAACCAAAAAATAAAATAAAATACATATATACGTCATTTTTCTATTCATATTTCTTTGTACAAAATATTAATCAATATATTTACAGTTTAAAATAGATTTCACATTTAAAAAAGATTATCATTTGATTATCTTCTAGTATCTAGACAATAAAAGTAGACAAAAGAATTTGAGTATGTTTAAAAAAAAAAAAAAGATCGTCCTGATTGCCCTTTAAAGTCTAAACTCACGGCTACTTTATTTTTATTTTTTTAATCAATTTATGTTTTTCATGCATTTTTTTTAACGTTCCCTTTTAAATATTAGCATAAAAATTGTAGGATCACTTACTTAGTTTAGTTTCATTAGTTTACTCTTTTTCATCCACGAAAAGTAACATGTAAAAATGATAACAAGTTACCTATATAGTTCAAATAAGGAAAAAATTATGTAATGTGGGATTTTAATTGACTTTAAATTCCTAAATTTTAGGAATTCCTACATAGTTTAAATAGGAAAAGATTTATTAACCAAAAATTTTAGTCGATTTTAAAGTACTAAATATTAGGATAATAATTAAATGACTATTTTGTCAAGTGAGAACTTTATTTTAAAATGGCAAAAAAGGCGAATGACATT